GCAGCCTGATGGGAATTTAATGTCTGAAGTTCAAAGCAGTTTGCACATCAGAGCAAACGTCAATCAAATGAACATCTTGCAAGCTAGGCAGGGAGCGCGTTTCTCCGTGGGGAAGAGATCAAAGTGGGAGTTGCAGCTCTGTTTGCTCCCTCGGGATGCAGTTTCGATCGGTTCTTCATTAAAGTGAATCCAGAAGGAGGGGCTTTGTAGAGAGAGGCAGGGAAGGGGCGATGGAGTGAGGGGGCCTGTCTTGACACTGAATTTCAGTGAATGTCTTTTCCCCCTCCCCGTTTAAGTAAGCACCAAACCTAATTAATATCAAAATGCAGGTTTTGGGTGTGTTTTTGTGATAAGGATTCTGGAGGACTTCCTAAGTGTTGGTTGTGGAGTTACCATGTAGAACACTTTGGGCCTAATCCCAGTGGAGATCTCAGTCAGCCATCGCTGTTATCCGCCTCATAGTCTTGCTGCTGGGAAAAGTGAGAGACATGGGTAAAAATTAAGTCTCTTTTGTGCAGAGGAAGGGTGGTGATCAATGGTTGTCTGCTAAATCTTTAAAGTTTTGTGGTTTTTAACTTCTTCCAAACAGATGGGAAGGTTTGTATGGGTTGAAACTTGTGTGGAAAGCATGCAAGGTATAAATAGGTTGTAGGGAAGGTAGAACCAGTAGACAGAGCCAGGAACGTGAACATTGGCTGGTAATGCCCCATGGCAGCGTTGAGGCTTTAGTTTTAATGGTGAAGACTGCCAAATAGGTAAATAGCACATTCTTTATTGAAACAACTTAAAGACACCCAAAAGAAGCACATTGTAGATTTTCCAGTGTGATGCAAATATCACGATGTCAGTGTGCTGCCTTTGCCCACTTTGTGGTCTTGGTTTTCTGAGGATGTACACTTGCAATGGGAACTGGTCTAGTCTCAAGGTCTTTGTATTATGGAACCAGTCACACATTAAAAATACACCACACTGCAAGGTGTAAAAGTCAGTTTTAAGACAACCCGCACCCAAAAAGAGATTCGATGTAGACATCCCACGTAGCTCAGTCTGGAGCAGCCCTTGCTCTGGGCTGACAGGTCTGTCTGAGGGGTGTTCTTTAATTTATGGGGCTTAAAAGAATTCTTCTTCTGCATATTTTATTTAGATCATTTGCCCTTTCACCGTAGTCTCTTTTTGCTACTTGTGTGCTGTAGCAAGAGAAAGGAGGGCTGGGGTGGGCTGCTGTAAATTTTTGCTTTCCTTCTTCAGCTCTGCTGCAGATTATTTAGGCATCTATGTCTTCGTTTTCCTGCTGGGTAACGTAATACTTGCTTGGTGAGAAAAACTGGAGGACTTTGTTGATTTTTGCATTAAAATGCTTCGATATGCTCCAGTAAAACCTGCAATGTAAATAGGGTGTTTATAGCTGAAACACAGACCCCCTTGGCCTGTGGCAATCAGTTTGGGGCTGCAGGAGCACCCATGGTGGGGCAGTTGAGGATGACAGCTTTATTTTTGCCTTCCTAGAAGGCATGGCAGAGTTGGACCGGGCGTTCATCTGCTTGAAACCACAGGTTAACATCTGTCATGGTTGAGAGAGCTGAAACTCAGTTTGGCAGCTTTGTGTGTAGGAAGAAGTGGTACAGCAATGCACTCATCATTTTAAATCAAGACACATACAACTTGTCTGCCACGTCAGGTAACGCAAGTAGTCTTGGTGGTGTGGGAACTGCATGTCAGGATGCACGTGTCACTGAGCGTAAGCAACAGCTTTTGGCACAAAATAAAATCAAGGCAGAGGAAAAATCCAGATGCTTTTGAATTAAAACCCAGCATTTACTGCGTGTGTTCTGAGACATGAATAATGTTAGCTGCTAACAAGGTATGCTGTTGCCATCACTAACAGATTTGGATGGGAGTACTGGGATGGTAGCTAACATCCTGAAAAGTCATTATTTTTCCCTAAGAGTTTGTTCTTTAGTATTGCTTGGAAATCTTTCTTTAACATGGAGATGTTTAATTTGCAGACTCCAGCACTTCTCCATCTGGTTTTGCCTAAAGATAAACATGTTTTTTGTGAAACCCAGCCTTTATCAATCAGTCTTAGTCCGGAGATTCTTTAGCCAACAAAAAGTCAACAACATTTTTGCTTGTTTGGTAGGAGCTGTAATTTTTTGAAGTGGTTGCGTTTTAATGGGGATAGGAAAAGCCATAGCCTTGATCCGAGAACTACGTGCCAGTGAAATGTCAAGTCTTTTCCTCAATGGAGAGGACTTTGGGGAATTCTCGGAGAGCAGGTTGCCAGTGATTTCAGCAAGCAGCTTCTGGCAGGCTGGATGAGCCCGCACCATCAATGTTTGGCTGGTTTTGGTGTCTGACATAGCATCCCTTCCTCATCTTACAACCTGGTGGCGGTGGGGTCAGATCAAGAGGACAGGAGACCTTTGTATCTATCTGTCCATCCATTTTCTCTCTTTTCCTTGCCATGAAGAGTGAGGATAACGCACAGGGTGCCCAGAGCAGCTGTGGCTGCCCCATCCCTGGCAGTGTTCAAGGCCAGGTTGGACACAGGGGCTTGGAGCAACCTGCTCTAGTGGAAGGTGTCCCTGCCCATGGCAGGGGTTGGAGCTGGAGGAGCTTTAAGCTCCCTTCTAAACCATTCTAGGATTCTATGAAATTCCTTCTGTACTTGAAGGGCAAATTTCTAACCTTGTGTGAAGGCTGTGCTGTATTCTTCACTTTATAGTAGAACTTAAACCTCTGCTTTCAGCAAAAATAACATCTATTCAACCTAGACTATGGTTATATC